TGGCGTGGGAAAATCAGGGCAAATCAGGCCCAGACGCGTTCGGCACGGCTCCCGATCGTGAGATCGAGCATTGATTGGACCGATGGACGCCTCCCACCGAAATATACGCGCTAGAATAGTACGTTGCGCAACTTGGTTGAAGGCTTTTGGCCAGGGTCGAGGGCGTTGCGGGCTGGGCCTCTGTTGACAGACCAGCCACCTCGACGGTCCCGTGCATGAACCGCAGATCTGAGCCCACCACCCGACTTGTATCTGCACATCTCCAACTCCACCCGTATTATCGCTTGCGTCGTACTACCTGTCCCGCAATTCTTCAGAGTCGTGGTTCATGGGACGTCATCTCCAGCATTCGAGGTGAAGGTCCTCGCGCATCATACCACCACTATGTCGACACCACTTAGGCTGCCTATTGAACTCCGGATGCAATGGCTACCATTACTGTCGGCTTCGCTGCTGCTGTCTGCCGTCGCTGCCCAGATGCCATACAACCCTACACGCCTCCTCCAAAACAATGATACCCTCTACGTCTTCCGCCCGTCGTCGCAATCGTCCACGCAATTCGCTCTGAGCACCATCGATCTATCGTCCCAGGTCAAAGCGTCCAATCTACCCTACAACACACTGTACGCAACGCTGCCCTTCCTCGACGACAATGCCCCGCGCGCCTTCACCCCGGTTCTCGACCACGACGGCAACCTTACGGTATACACGGGCGACTGCACTCTGGGTGCGAGTGGTGGAGAATTGTGGAGCTTTGTACCGGATACCTCAGAGAATGTTGTCAAGGGCAGTTGGAGCAAGCAGGATGTTTCGGTGGTCGACAGTTCGCATACGTCCATCATGGGCGCGAACTACCTCAGCGGTGGCATGACCTTCTCGTCTATCGTTGGTGGGAAGGCTGCGAATACTGGCGCATATTTCTTCGGTGGCATGTGCCCTGATCAGAACGAGACTGCGGGCGACTGGCAATCTGCGGCCAACTACTCCAACTTCATGGTCGCCATACAACCTTCGGAGGATACGAGCAAGCCACTCAACTACGACATCGACGTCTCATCCAGCCGTGGACCACCTATACCCGAAGCTGGATTCACTATCACAGGTCTTTCGCCAACCTTCTCCGACCGAAGCGATGGCACGCAGATACAACAGCAGAACTTCGTCCTCATCGGAGGCCATACCAGTGCTGCCTTTATCAACATGTCGCAAATTGCCCTCTTCTCCCTTCCAGAACAGGGCTGGACCTTCATTGGCGTCGATCAACCTGACACCTCCCGTACCGACCTAGCTATTCGAGCAGAGGTCACCTCGATCGATCCTCGTTCCGGTCATACCGCTGTGCTGAGTCCGGATGGCCAGCAGATCATCGTAGTCGGAGGTTGGGTGGGCGACATCAATACACCAGCAGACCCCCAGTTCGCCATACTGAGCGTCGCAGATGGTTACGGTGGTGCTGGTGACTGGCAATGGGTAGTTCCATCTACTACTGGTACCGGACTGCCGAATGACGGTGGTCTCTATGGTCATGGAGCGGCCATGCTACCTGGAGGTGTACTGATGATCACTGGAGGGTATTCTATTTCATCATCTGGAACACAGCGAAGAGACACCGCGCCAGCAGCAAACACCCAGACCTACTTCCTTAACGTTACCTCGAATACCTGGATTTCGGATTATACTCCTCCGATTAAAGAGTCGCCGTCAGAGTCTGCCAATAGCGGGCTGTTGTCTACGACTGGACAAAAGGCTGGCTTGGGTGTCGGTGTTGGTATCGGTTTGGCTGCGATATGTGGAGTGTTCGCGCTCTACATGTGGTATGCGAGGCGCATGAAGAAGCGAAGGGAGTTCCGGGAAAAACAACTGCAGGAGATCTCCTACACTACCCATAGATACAATGCCGAAGACTACCCCCAAAGCTTCGATGGCCGCGGCGGGAACTCGGATGCTCTGGACTATATTACCGATCAGAACGGGCCTTACTACTTCCCAGCCGGTACACAGGGTGGACAAGGATGGAAGGCCACCACCCGGGGCGATGTGGAAAGAACTGGACTACTGGTCGAGGTCCCAAGTCCGACGCGTGGACTGCGACGCAACTTGAGCGGTAGACCTCAGTACGCCATGGGCAGGCCCCGAGGTCCAGGAAGCATACATCCTATCGACGAGTTGGAGGAGGAGCCTGATGAGGAGTCTGCGCACGATAACAATACACCGAGCAGGCATCAGGAGATGACAGAGACACGACAAAGATCTGGGTCGGCAATACTTGATAACGCTCCAGTCTTGGATCCATTCACGGAGTCCCCTGGACGTAACAGGAACACGCTTCATTCGGCATCCCCATCGCCTCAGCACCAGAGCTATGAGGTTAATACCAATTCAGCTGGAAGACTATCGCCTGACAAGTCTACGTCGGAACGTACAAGCTCGAACCTCAGCGAGAGAAGTACGCTGTCATGGACTTCATCTAATGGCGGCGTTGGGCGCAGTGCATCTATGCGTTCGGGTCCTATGTTGAACACAGCCATGCGTGCCAACCCATTCAAGACACCTGATACAAGTCCTACTCATGACAAGCCTGGCCGACACTCACCAGAAGACCCGCGAACGCAGTCCTTTAGTAGCCTGCAAGGCGAGCAGGATGTCGACTCCTTCCGCACCGCACAATCATCATTCTCCCGTCTACAAGCAGAAGGCGAGGTACTCCTCGGTGGAAACCCAGAGCGATCAAGACCCGACACCAGCTCATCCGGCTCAACCACACACCGCGACTCAGACCGCAGCAACAGTCGCGCAGCCACAGCCACACCAGCAACATCCTTCGCACTAGACCTATCATCAGCTCCTCGCCCTGCAACCAGAGAGCGCAGAATGAGCTGGCTAGGCAGTGTCCGCAGAGTCCTAACACGCTCCGTTTCCAGCGCCGAACGCACGCGCTCCCTCACAACAGCACCAACATACCACGAACCCTACAGAGACGATCCAACCTCCCCCGTCGACCCTTCTCCCCGCTCCATCAACAGGAAATCCCTCCCTGCTACTGCGACTACGAATACGACGCCCCAACGCGCCGCCTCTGACGCAAGCTTCTGGCGCAACCGCCGCGGCAAACAGGACTGGCTCGAAGAGGAACAAGACCCAGCGTGGCGCCGCACTGCAGGCGACGACTGGGGCGCGCCTGAGGATATCGCCATACTTGAGCGTGAACGCGCGCGTCAAGAGTGGCGCGAACGTGGTAGCAATCTCCTCGTCACTATCAATAGTGAGGAGAGGTTGCCTACCCCGCGTACACCCATATCCCCAGACCAACTAGGCGTACCGCCGTCACACGATAGAGGAGACGAAAGAGACCGTCCCTGCACCCCCGCCAGCGAAGCAGACTGGGACGTCGAAGCCGCAGTCGAGCGTCGCGTCGTACAAGTCATGTTCACCGTACCCAAGTCTAAACTCCGCGTCGTCAACGCGGATATCGATGGCGCGAGTATTTTGAGTGATGTCCCTCCTCCAAGCGTTGCTGGGGATGATCATGGGAATGGGAATGGGAAGGAGTCGCCGACGAGGGTGAAGGATTTGGCGGGGAGGTTTGAACAGATGAGCAGTAGTGGGAGTAGAGGGGGTAGTCCGAGGATGAGTCCTAGACCCAGTCCGTCGAATTCTATTAAGAGTTTGAAGGTTAGGGGAAAGGCGAGTCAGAGTAGTTTGGCGAGGGAGGTGAGTGTTAGGAGTAAGAGGTTGGGGAGTGGGGCGGGGATGAGTCCGCTTGGTAAGGGTAAGGAGAAGGAGAGGGAGTAAGTCTACACTGATGGTAGGCGTGAGCATGGACACGGTCATGATGGAAGTTGATGTTTTTTCGGTTGTACGATTTCTCTTTTGATGATCTAGGGATAGCGATTGGCGTTTTTGGATGGATAGATATCCTCGATGTTTGGTTTCACATAGTAGCACGATTTAGTGTTGACGTGCTCCACGGTCGTTTTTAGACGAAGACGAAGATGAAGCGATGTAGTTAGGATGTAGAAATGACTTCATATTCTTACTGAACATTTTGTGTTGTACGAGATATACATATAGCCTATTGCATCGCTAGGTTGACCATGTTGTAAGGTATCTGGCTGAGCACGTAAAGAGCTTCGAGGCTAGAACGATGCCGTCGTCGGCCGCCTTTCTGGGTGGGTGGGGGAGGCGGAGGGGAGGCGGAGGGGTGGTGGTGGATGTCCCCTCCCTTGAATCAGAGCGTGGTCCGTCACAGTGCGTTCACGGCGGCTCTTTGTTCGGTTATTGCGGGATGTGCTGGTAACGGCATGAAGTTGGGATGTAGAAATGACTTTATTCTTCTCACTTGATATCCGTCTCATTTGAAATGCACGTCGTCTACTGGTAAGCTCTGCACGTGCAAAATACTTGGAAACGAGTGGGAAAGTCTTCCCCCACGTTGTAATCTCTCTGGTCAACGATATGAAGAGACCTGAGACTGGGCTTTTGCCGTCGTCGGCCGCCTTGCCTCTTTCCTCCCCCGATCCATCGGGTGTGACATGGCTAGCGCGGTCCGTGACAGTGTGTTGACAATGACCCTTTGTTCGGTTATTGCGGGAGGTGCTGGTAACAGTGGGTTTTGTGCAACCTTGCTCATATTATCAAAGCCTGTCATGTCCAGAATACAGGATTTGTGAGACCTGTCATTACGACAGCTTGGGAAAATGTGGGTTTAGTGTTACACACCAGCCGCGCATCGGCCTTCGATCATCTTCAACTACATAGATGACCCGTGGAGTATTTAGCGCTTGTACCCATCCCATGTGTCTTTGAGGGCTTGTGCTCGAGAGTTCGGGAAGTATAGGAACGGCGAATTAGAGTCTTTGTTCAGGACATGCGGTTGTTCGATTAGCTTCATCCAAGATCTTCGACCGGGTAGCGGAGCTGGGAAGCGCTATGGTGAGGGGTATGAAGACATGGCATGGACGCCAAAAGCTCAGACTAGAAGATGAGTGCGCGATCCAGCTATGCGAAAGGTGCAGGTGTCGAACGGAACATGCGATACCCCAACTACCAATCGATCAGTCGATACCGACAACGATAGCGACGAGGTGCTCACTCACGCAGCCACAGAAAGCCAGTGCGTGCCCAAATCTTATATCCACTGGTGCTATCACCCCAGTACAGATTGGATACTGTGGTATCTCGTCAGCAAGTTACCGAAAGAGGAGGACGGCAGGATATCCGATGTCGGATTAACACCTGCTCGAGTCGACTCGGGCATTGGGCTTCACTTGCTGGGACACGAAGATGGACATCTATCACCTACCGCGGCGTCCACACCGTCAACCCCAATCACTCTGTCCTTCCATTTCAAAGACGGCACGACCACGAAACTCCTCGACTACCGTGTTTACTCCCAATGGGCCAATGTCAACTCCCTACTGAACGAACTGGCACAGGACGGCATTGTCATCGACGAGCTATGGGACGTGAACGAGGACATGCCGATTGGTAGCGGAGACTGGGATGCTAGAATCCAACCGGGAAGTGTCATAGAAGCTTGGTATTTCAACGAGAAAAGGAGCTATTGTTCGGGCGACCTCGATGGTAGTAGTGATTGCGAGAGTGATGAGGAAACGGTTGAGTCGGGTGGAGATGGGGATGATACAGAAAGCGAGTACACGATGAGTTGGATGAGTTCAGCGAAGGAAACAAGAAACGAGCATACATGGTGGTTCACTCGATGGAGGCAAAGAGTAGAAAAGACCGTGCCAGGGAGAAAGGAAGCATTGGATGAGCCATCGTGGTTTATGATAGTAGTCTGGTGTACATCTATTGTCGGCATTGTAGTTATAGTCAGCGTACTTAGTCTATAGCTCCTTCCCCCATACAAACCCTCACCCCTCCCACCCCCCTACCCCCCAACCCCTCTCAGCCGCCCTAACCATCCCCTCATCCCCCGCCACCCTCCCCTCATACGTCCACCCCCTCTCCCCCACCATCCTCCTCTCACACCCCTGCCACAACTCCTCATGTTCCTCGTCCCTGCGATTCCATCCCGGTTTCCTCCACACAGGCTTCTCCCAGGGGTCATCTGCGGCCCGTTTAATCCAGCCTTTCGCTTCTTTCCAAACCATTAATTCGCGCCATTCGCCGATGTGGTAGTAGTCTGAGAGCGAGGGGAGGTGCGGGAAGAGGCGGTGCCATGCTGCGCGGGGGCCTTCTTTGGGGGGTGGCGTGGGCGGTGTGAGGGGTGGGGAGGGGGCGGTGGATGAGGAGAGGTAGGAGGAGGCAACGGCGCGTTTTTCCAGCGTGCGGGCAGCGGTTTCTAGGGCGAGGGCGGAGGAGGATAGCGGGACGTTTTCGCTTCCACGTGAACGTGGAGCGGTAGCGGAAGCGGTGCGCGTAGCTGGTTTTGATGTCGAAGCTGAAGCCGCATGTCCACGTGACCGCGAAGTTCCGCCCGTCTTCTCTCGCGAAATCTCTTCGTTTTGAGAGGCTTTCAAAGTTTTTGTGCGTTTTCTTCGGCCTCTTTCTTCTACTTGCGCTTCTGCTTTCTGCTCTTGCGCTAAGGCGTCACTTGCCTCTATCTCTTCTTCCTGATATAAGAAAAGAGAAACGCGTTTGCGCTTCGGAGAATTCACCTTGGGATCTTGAACTTCTTGAACTTTTTGCACCACTTGTGCATCAGCCTTACCTTTAGGCACAACCTGATTCCAAATCCTTATTGGGATGTGCAGTTTAGGTGATTTCTTCTCCTTTGCTGCAATCTCTACTTCCACTTCCACTTCCACTTCTGGTGGAGGTGGTGAAGAATGAACTTCTTCCTGCACCTCCTCTTCCTCTCCAATCTCCACATCTTCATCCTCCTCATGTGCACTCTCTGTCTCATCCCCTTCATCCACCCCTTGATCAACCCCTCCATCCTGCACCTCGCGATAAGACCACAGGTTCCTCAACAGGTTGTCGTTCATAACCTGGATTGCAGGGGTTGTGGTTAGGGATTGGAAAGACATGGTGTGTAGGAGTTTCGCGTAGATTTGAAAAACCGGCTACTCGAATGTGAGTGTGATGTATGAGCCTGGGTGTGGTGTACAGGCGCGTTTGTAGTGGTGGTGGGTGTGTGTAGTAGGCAAATCTATGTATTGCCTGATCGTCCGTCGTAGTTGAGCAGATATGTAGTCAGTTGGGTGTGTGATGACGGCGTGAATGTACGTGGGTTGACCGTATATAGTCAACTGAGTGTGTGATGGCAGCGCGAATGTGAGTTGACTGGTCGTATGTATCAGTCGAGAGGGTGCGTGATATTCGAGCGAGCGTGTGTAGTTGGCTTAGTGCTTTAGTCAGTGTTCGATGGGTAGCTCTCTGAAAATAGATAAACAGCGGGATATATCCAGGCTTATAAACAGAAACAGTGTGAGAATTTCAAGCGGCCTTGACTCAATGCAATGACAGTATCCAGAGTTCGCACTCCCCAGTAGAAAAGCGCGCAGTGTGTTCGGACAAGTACTCCGAAAGCCCACCGCAGGAATATTCTACGTCAAACGTGGGAACAAATCGCTAGCCCAAGGTCCTCACCGCACGAGCCACTATGTTGTTGTGAATTGATAGATGTTTTGGATATCGAGGCATTGCCACTGGCTGCAGAAGTGGAAGTGGGTCGCGGCTCTAATACCCGTGAGTGTATGCCTTGGGTGAGCAAGTACGCGGCCAATGGAAATTCGAGCATTGCACAACCAGCCTCAAGGGCGATGACAACACAACGAGAAAATGACCAAGTATGACGAGTAAATGCTACGGACTGACCTATGCTGATACTAACGATACATTCGTCGCACTGGAGGAATCGAGAAGCAAATATTAGACATTACGACGTGACGCGAATTTGACCCAGCTCACTGGGCCGCCACACTGTCCCGCGCTTTTCCACTGTCCATCCTGCTGAAGGACAAGATCCTTTCATGCTCCGTAGCTTCCTGCTGTTTGAATTTGGAAATCAGATCCATGGTGCTTCGCCTAACGCTGACCAAGCTCCGCTCCTCGAAAGCGCTGTCATCTTGACCCAGCGAGCCGAAGCTCCTGGCGCGGCTCCCATTGCTCATCTGACTCATCTGGCTAGCGTTGCGCGTGTGCTTCCGCAGATGAGTAGGCAAAGTGCGCGAGTGCACGGACACCTGCCGGCTATCGAATGAGTGCCGATTCGGACGACCAAAGTCCTCGAGAACTCGGTTCGTGTCCATACTCAGACGGGGGTATGCATCGACGCAGTTTTCGTAGTAGGTAGACCAGACACGTGCTCGATCGTTTGCGTGCTGCGCATCAGCTGCGCCATCGCCGAATGACATCTCGTTGAGATTGGGCGCAGAAGAATTGCGCCGTGGACGGAGTGTTGCCATGGAATCCTCCGCTCGTAGATTGCTCCTGGATTTAGTCGTCTTCTTCAAGGTTTCCTGCCTCAGCACAGACTGCTCATCGCCTGGGATGTACGTGTCAACGTCTCTGTGAGCCTCACCCGCCCAAACATCAGGCAAGAGCTCGAGCTCAGGGTGCTCAAGGATGCCGCCAGATGCGATGGAACTGCGGTGTCCTCTACCATGCCTGCGGAACTCTGTACTCTGACTCCTGAACATCTTGGTGTAGTTCTTCATGAGAGTCTTGCCGAAAGTCATCGAGTTGCTCTTCGCTACACGACCACTGCCAACCTTCTTCTTTTTCTTCTTCTCGCCAGGCAGCAGTGGGGTGGACGGTCTTCTCGCTGTGGGATCGATCAGGTCCTCGTCATCCGTTGCTGAAGCAAACTTGATCGCTGCCTCAAGCGCGAAGTCGCGAGGCTGCACGTTATCAGCCTTCCCTGCAGATGCGGTACGGTCATGGCGCGTGTGCGAAGGATAACGACCCCAGGCCCCGACGACATCCGTGCTGTCGCCCTGCCGCTCAAATGCATTTGCCACTTCTTGTCCAACGCTAACATCATCACGCCCTATCATAGCACTGCGACGAGACACCATCTTGAACAGCCCCTCGGAGCGCTCTTCACCAGGTGTTTCGGCGTGGGGACTTAATGTCGATACCCGCGTGCTGGAACCATCGTCAGCTCGGCTAGCTGGATCCAGGCCTTCGACACTGATGCGTCGCACGGAAACGCTGCCGCTGCGCTCGCGGAAAGGGCTCGCATGAACAGCGAGGTCCCTGTTCTTGGGAAGATAGAGAGATGCTTTCTCGTCTTGATGCGCTTGCAAAGCGCGATCCCATACATGATTGGCGCCTTTGTTCTTTCCGAGTGCATCTTGTTCAGCCTGCATGCTTATCAATGACCGTGACTGACGACGTCCATGGTTGACAGGGAGCTCCAGCGTGTCAGATGGACCATCCACAGCGGCAAGTGCGACGACCGAGGAGGAGGAAGCTTCAGACTGGAGATTTGCTTCACTCTGGCTGCGCAGACTCAGGCGCTTCGGGTTCAAGAACTTGATGATAGATGCCGACTGTGTCATCTTCTTCTTGGGTGGAGATGGGCTGAATTCTTCTCGAAATTTGGAGGTCTTGGTATCAGCAACACTGTTCTTGCGTGCTAGCGGTGCGGGCGGTGCAAGAAGCGAAGGCTCGACCGGATGGCCAGTGACTGTGGCGAGGTTGGTGAGACCATGTCTTTTAGCTGGTCTTGGTGTGTCTTCGTTGTCTGTAGGAAAGGAGGCAGAACGTCGAGGCCGTCGTATGTCGGCAGACGAAATGCTGACCGGGCGATTCTCAGTATCAGTGCGCGGTAGAGTCGTCACTGATCCTCCAAAACTGTCGGGTGGGCTTTGGGGCCGACTTGAGTAGATGGAAGAAGCAACATCAGGTCGGGTGTCAAGATCGTTCGGCAATACCTTACCCCATCTACTCGGAACTTTTGAGCTGGCAAAGCCTGAGCTCGATGTTTGCCGGTCATGGCGGGCTAGTTGCTTACTTTGTGGGGAAGTTCGGCTCGGGTCTGAGAGAGTGCGTTCACGGAATGCGCGAGGCGGAGTGGGAAGCTCTGGTGCATCGGCAAGTTGGTCCCATGAGAGAAGAGACCCAGAGCGTAGATGATGTGAGATGCGCATGCTGTAAAGATGGACAGACCGACGAGGGTTGTCATCATCGTCATTATCCTCGCTGTTATGTGCCTGTCCTCGTACTTTACGCGGCGAGTCTCCACGGAGAGTGCCTCTGATAGATGTAGACGGCCTTGGGGTTGCAGTGGATGTTGGCTGTTGAACGCGGATCTCAATGAGGCGACCACAAGGGGAAGCAGTCGTTCCAAGAGCTCGGTGCGACGATACCGAAGCGGAGCTACTTCGTTTCTGGTGTCGCTTATGGCCGTCATTGTTGAGGGTGGTTATAGATGCCTGTGGACTGATATGGCGCGGAGGCACAGGAAACTGCGAAAGACGGAGACTCTTGTGCATTATCTCAGACCATGGTATGCCAGCTGAGTCGTGGTCGGTAAGGCTTGGTAGTCGTAATGGTGAGAGGGGAGAAGGCTTCGGCAAGCCCATGGATGTAGCCGAATGCGAGCGTCTCACTCTGTTGTCCTTTCCACCAGGTGTATCCGATCGCAGATTGGGCGTGCTGAACACTTGGCTGAACCGGTGGGAGAAAGGACCGGCCTGTGGCTTGTTGATACTGTAGGGAGGGAGGTCGTCGTTGAGGTCGCCGCTGGTGCGGCCGTTTCTTGTGGAGTCTGGTGTTGTTTTGCTGGTGACTGTCAGTATGGCGTAATGAAGAGCTCGCAACATCTAACCTTCCGGTTGTGGTGGTCCAGTCGACACTGTG